ATGATATAAATGACTATAATTCCTTGTAGAAACGTTACAGAAAATTGGTTCTTGTACCAGAGTGTTGCCAAAGAGCTAAGCTATTTTTCGATATGCTTAACTCGTTTTCCATAATTTTTCAATTTTTTTTTTTTTTTGCTTGCGCGGCGCACACCTCATACTGCCCCTGAAGCAGCCCTGTTGGCCCATACTAGGCAGGTCCTTCACAATCCATCCCACTAACAGAATTACGTATGTGTCCAACCCAATTTTCAATGCTATCGAAGCCATAAGCTTTGATAATTCTGTTTACTCATGTGCAAGTCCCACTCAAATACAGCCCCTCTCACTCAGCATTCTCCACCTGACTCCTCCCTATAAATACGTTGTCAATAAACGATCACATTGTACTGCTTGTGTATTTATTTTTTCCATTTTGTCGGTATTTTATACTATTTATGTATTTCCATTGTACTTTTCTGTTCGTGTATTTTTTTTACATTCGAAGTGAATTCGAACACATTGTTGTGTATGCAAATGTTCTCAGAAATAAACAACTGTTTGTGTCATGCACAGTGTTTCTCCTAAACCTTGCAGTATAAAATACAGTACTTTTTTTTTTTTTTCAACAAGTCGGCCGTCTCCCACCGAGGCAGGGTGACCCAAAAAGAAAGAAAATCCCCAAAAAGAAAATACTTTCATCATCATTCAACACTTTCACCTCACTCACACATAATCACTGTTTTTGCAGAGGTGCCCAGAATACAACAGTTTAGAAGTATATACGTATAAAAATACACAATACAGTGGATCCCCGCTTTACGATCAGCTCCCAATGCGACCAATTATGTAAGTGTATTTATGTAAGTGCGTTTGTACGTGTATGTTTAGGGGTCTGATATGGACTAATCTAATTCACAATATTCCTTATAGGAACAAATTCGTTCAGTAATGGCACCTGAACATACTTCTGGAATGAAATAATATCGTAAGCCGGGGGTCCACTGTATATCCCTCCTGGGTAGAAGTGCTGACACAAGCAAGAGAGAGCAGCTGACGCTAATATCAACAATTTCCAAGAAGATTCGCAGATGATATACGAGAAAGAAGGGTTACGAAAGCTATGGCTTGGGTAGCATAAAAAATAGGTTGGGCAAATGTATATGGATGGAGTTGAGAAGGCATGTTTCAGTGTCCCTTCTCTATTACATAGAAAGGAGGAACACTGCAGCAGGCCTGTTGCCCATTTCTGGGCATGCCTTCTCAAATCCAACCATCCATATGCGTACATTTTCCCAACCTATTTTTTATGCTACCCAAGCCACAGCTGTTGTAACCTTTCTTTTTCATGTACCAGCTGCAAATGTTCATGGAAATAAACAACTGTTTGTGTTGTGCATAGTGTTTCTTTTAAACCGACCATAAGGCTTATTATTCCTTCTTTCGTCACTCTTATGAGAGAAAACAGATCTAAAACGAGGGCAAACTGTAACAGACACTCATAGCTTATGAAAAAAAAAAAAAAAAAAAAAAGGGGGATTTTTTGGGGAAAAAAATATTTCCCGAGCTCGGGTATGTGTGCATTTTCAGTTATTGTGTGTGTAGCGAATTATGCCCTTGCCCAACATTTTATTATGTGTGTGTGTTAATGCTAATATTGTATTATATTGTTTTGTTTGGCATTATATTAAGCATGTGATTTTCATGTAGTGGGAAACCACCTGTTAGAGCACTGGTTACTTGTTCAGGTACTGGCCTGTCTCCCTCTAAGTCACATGATCCAACCTGATGTCAGCTTACCGCTCACTGGTATGGTCAGTAGGTTCACACACTCACTCCTGAGCAGTACTCTGCCTTGAACTCTCACACCTAGTCTTATCTCTGATTTCTAGAGTTCACTATTCATATACATATCCCTTGCACGGGATTATCGATAAAATTTCCTACATGGATAATTTGAATTTAATGTCTCGGTGAAGACATTGATAAGGGTTATGTTAGCAAGTATCAGTTACTTCATGTCATATACCGATTGCCTAACTCTACTACTGGGAATTATGTCTTCCCAGTAAACTCATGTCATAATAATAGCTGTGTATATATAATTGTATCCTTTATGTGTAAAGGAAAAAAAGATAATAAAGAGCAATCAAATTACTTAAGATTATGGTTCATAGAGATATGAAGATCCTATCTAAGTTTCATTGTTATTGAAGACACGGACTTTACTTGAGTTTTGGTCATCCTACGGAAAGAAGGTTAAAGAATGTCTTTGGTTAATAAGGCTATATTTGCAGCACTAAAACCTTGTTGCTATTGGAGTTCTACCCTAGACAATAGCCAACATAGCAACTGATACCCTATCAAAGATCAGTGGCCTAATGTTAAACACTCCATATGCAACACTCAGAAGTAAGTTATTCACCTATTTTGTGAAAACCAATCAATAATAATGAATGGATTGAAGTGATTTCCACAATAAACATAAAAGAATGATTGCTTCACAAGATTAAGATTTAATTTTTGAAATATCCCTATCGGCAATTTTCTAAGGTTCTACTTATGTCCATTTTGACTTACGACCGGTTGGTCGGAACCAAGCTCGGTCGTAAGTCGAACGGTACCTGTATCTAGGCCAAAATTTACCACTCACAGCTCATGTGAACAAGCTAAGCTCATGACACTGAACTATGTGAAGGACCCGGCCTCAATGAGACAGTTCTATGTGATGGCCACTGAAAGGGTTAAACTGCAGGGTCCATCAACAAGGCTTGTCATTTTCTTTCAACCTTTTGATAAATGCTGCTTATAAAATCACTGCTAAAGAAAAGCATGTTATATAGTGCACCTTATACAGCAACTCATCGTAACATGCATAACGAGTGTGCATACAGCCTCTCCTCACTTAACGACGGAGTTCCATTCGTAATACCGCGTCGATAAACGAATTCGTCGCTAAACGATGAGCATACTGTAGTGGTAGTGGGTTTATGTCGACCATCTTTGAAATTGCTTCAATGTCACCCTTGCACCATTTATAACATTTTTAGTATATTTTTAAATGTTTATACAGTAGTGTACTGTATACTACGATAAACAGAATAGAGGAAATCAGCTCTAATAAACATTATTTAAGTATGCATACTGGTCAGAGGGCCCGTCATAAGTCCGAGTCATCAGTAAACAAGTACACCTACCATCCGACTTATGACCAAGTTTGGTTCCGAGAAACCGGTCACAAGTCGAAATGGACGTAAGTCGAACTTTACTACTGAATATCAACATAACATTTTTGTAATGACTATTTTATTGTTTTATTTTGGTATTTCATGTTTTACTTTACTTTTTATGTTGTTAGTACTGCATTTTATACTGTAAGATTTAGGATAAACACTGTGTACAACACAAACACTTGTTTATTTCCCAGAAATTTGGCATAAAAAACACAGTCGTAAGTCGAGTCGTCATATGTCGAGCAGGTCGTAAGTCGGATGGTAGGTGTACATCGCTAAGTGAGGAGAGGTTGTATCTGAAGGTTGCCTCGGCTTGCTCGCACACCTCACTGCCAGATGTTTTACAGCAATATTATTTAATTTGCTTATTTGTAGGTACATATTTTTCATTCATATATGTATCCTCTTCTCACCTAAAATAAAGAAAAAATATTTATCTAACTGCAAGAAATGGTTAGAATTTGATACTGGGAATCTTGTAAGAAAACAAGCAATGTCAAATGGGGATAGGTTGTATACAGAGACTTAGCCAAAGCATTATCCAGCTCATGACAATATGTCAACATGCCAAGGACAACTTAGATGAAGGCTTCCTGCTATAAACTGAAATGATCATGTAGTATTCAAACTTAATGGATCACCAAGACGCAACATAGAAAGATGAGATTGCAATCAGCTTTTCTGGGTGGCGAGGGGAAGCCATTGCCCCTACATCCTAGTCCAGGAGCAGACCTCCTGATTGATGATGTGATCAATCAAGCTATTGTGGCTGGCAGAATGGAGTCCACCATAAACATCACAGCCTGGCTGGTAAGGGTAGTGCCAGAATTTCTATACTGGGGGACTTAGGAGTGGCTGCCTGGTTGGAAAGGGAGACTAGAGGACTTGTTTTCAAGAATTATTATTATTATTATTATTATTATTATTATTATTATATTTGGGTGGCTTGGGGAAGGGAGGCTGAAAGCTCCCCAAGTTCCTCCTTAGCACTGTCAATGCTGACTGATCAGCATGCTGAAAACCCACTTGTTCATAATCAGTGTATTATTTATGGGTCTATTTTCACTTTTCCCCATTTCCAATAGATGATGTTTATCTACAATGCATACTGATGTATACTGTTGACAGTACTGAAGAAAAGTAACAGGTTGCAGAGCAAGCTGTTATTGTTACTGTGGCAAAACAGAGTGACAATAAATGTTCTGCACCTATTTTCTCTCATTTTACTACAATAATTTTAATTATCTACTTAAAATTCCACATGCTTAATTTTTCTAAATATTTCTTGCCAGCTAATGAAGTTATCCTGACTTACTACGTTGCATGTGATTCTGGATCATTTGAAAAGCCACTGTTTTAAATATTTGGGCATTTTCCATAAGGAACAGTGAAAACACAGAAATCATCCCTCACTTCCTAGCTGCATTACCAGAAAGAGACTGTCATACAGCCCAAACTTGATTCACCAAACCCCCAACAGAAATAACTAGCACTATGATGGTCTCGTAAAATTTCAAAATTCTTCTTTCAACGCACTGGCCATATCCCACTGAGGAAGGGTGGCCCAAAGAGAAAAACAAGTTTCTCTTTTTAAATTTAGTAATATATACAGAAGCAGTTACTAGTCCTTTGCTCCCGGCATTTAAGTCACCTCTTACGACATGCATGGCTTACACAGGAAGAATTCTGCTCCACTTCTCCATATGGACACTATTTACTGTGCTTTCTCAATACATCTGGGGACTCATCACTATATGCTTTATTTCATCACAGTATCTGGGGACTCACCTCGATATACTTTGGGTTGTACTCAGAGATTTCATTGAGACAGACGTCATATTTTTCTCGTCCTCGTGACACTTCTTCCTTGGCTTTAGACACCCGGTCCTGCAGCTTCTTCACCTAAAATATCATGAAACCTTAAATAAGATTATTTCAATAAGGAAACTATAAACTGCATACTTATAATAAAACTTACAAGATATTTTCTTTGAATTTCAATAAAAGATATAACAATAATAATAATTATTACTTTCACTGCATTACAAATTTAATTTTTGGTGATCTTAAAGAAACAAAATTTTTGATTTTTTATTTCAACCTCAGTGCACATTAACAAATATCTGAAGCCACATATAACCAATTATTACTCATCTATTAGTTAAGAGTGTGGCTGCCTCAGTATCAGTTAAAGGGCATGGGTGTTTCAAAATTAATTATAGGGGAGGGGGCTGCAACAGAATTAGTTAATGGGGTAAGGCTGTCACAGTTAGTTAAGGGGTGAGGGCAGTCAGAGTTAGTTAAGGGTGTGGGGCTGCCATAGAATTACTTAAGAGGGTGGGTATCAGCTAAGGGTGTGGAGACAAGTCAAATTAGTTAAGGGGGTGGGGTTGCATCAGAATTAGTTAAGGGAGGTGCAGCTGCCACATAATTTAAAAAATCACAAAAAGGCATATGCATGAAAAAAATTCTCAAGTGTCTGGCTTTCCTATAAGATATTTATGTTGTTACTACAATGTGTAAAATATTGTAATGCTTTTAACCACTAAACTGTGGCACACCCAAAATATTGAATACTTTTTTTTTTACAGGTTGAAAGAGTATTTTTCAAAGTAGAATAAAGAAAAAAGTAATAGAATCAGATGAAAACTACAATTTTATAGTGTGCTGAATTTGGCAAAAAAATGATCACTCATTGGCAACAGCAGCATAAATATGCCATCAATATTTATGTTTTACAATTAACTGACACCAAGTTATAACCATTGTTATCCTTTTTATTGTTTATAATGTCCAATACTATGTATACTAGTTTCTTATGATATTAGATGTGTTTCATGGTGTTATAACACTTTAATCATGGGGAAATGTATAGTCTAACACTGTTCCACTTGGAATATACATGACAATATAAATTGATGCAAACATTTTTTTTTTTAACCGCTTTGGTCTTCTAACACAATGTACAAGGAATGCTTATATTACAATTTTTTAAAGGTGTCATACTCCTCAAAACATGGAAATAAGTCACAGTGTATGACTTTCCTGGGTTAATTTTTTTTATTATATTTAGGTTAGAGTGAATATATAATGAAACTAAACATGGTCTCTGCCAATCCTTTGGTACCTTCCCTTCTTCATGCATATACTGAACATACACACCAAGAACCCCATACCCTACTTTTTTTTTTTTAGCATATATTCCAGTTACTTTACTAGCCTGTCATTCTACCCAGTCCCTCACAGACTCCTCCTCACTCCTATACAATGTTATTCGTCACTGCCCTATTCATGATATCACATTTTTTTCCTGTAACCTCAACGTTCAACTATTCACCAAAATACAGTGGTACCCAAAGTTTTGGCCATAATTCGTTCCAGAAGGCTGTTCGAGTGCCGTTACCAAACATATTTGTTCCCATAAGAAATAATGTAAATTAGATTAGTCCGTTTCAGACCCCCCCAAAAATACACTTACAAAAGCCCTTACAATAATACACTTACAAAAGCCCTTACAATAATACACTTACGTAACTGTTCAAGTTGGGAGCTGTACAAAACTCGGGGTACCACTGTATCTCCATCTTTCCAACACCACTTCCCCACCAAACATCTCTGCTTTTCATTCTTAATTGCTGCCTTCTTTGTGCAGAGGAGTTATGGCTGCACTTCTTTGGGCCTCTGGGATTTCATCTACATCTTAGCTCTTTCTCCAAAGGATACCAAGTGCTAGTGGTATTTTGCACTTTACAATGAACTACATGAATCTGGCATCCAGGTGCTACACATTTGGGAATGTTTTCTATTTCTTTTATGAATTCTCCGGGATTCCTGCCTATATCAGATATGTGATCTCTATGGCATGCAGAAATAGTGTAAAAATTGGCATTCTCTGCTCTGCTTTCATTAGTGAATTGCTGAACTTTAAACAAATTTAATTTCTTTGCAAGATTACATTGAGATTATGAAATTACAATAATGAGCTGCAGTCTTTAAATTCAATGGATATAGCCCCCACTCCCCAAAGATGACAGCAAAGCAAAAGCAAAGAACTACAGATTGACAGCACTGACAGCCCACATTATAAAAATCTGAAAATTTTAAGAAGGAAAATAGCAAACTACATGGATTCACATAATTTGTGCAACCCAAGGGTCTAACGTAAGTTACTCCTGCCTCTTGCAATTAATGGGCCATTATGACATGATCTTGGATGCAATGAAAGACAAATAAAATATAAATGTAGTATACACAGGCTTGGCTAAAGGCTTTTAAGAAGTGCAGTCATGGTGCAATAGCATAAAACATGCATGCAAAAAGAAATAACCAGAAAAGTGAATAGATGGATATTTAATTTTCTAATGAGTAGAACCCAAACTGCAATAGTGAACAGAGTGAAATTAGAAGATGCCAGAGTGAAAAGCTCTGCTTCTCAAGGCATAGTATTTATCCTTGTTTTCTTCCTCATTTTCATATCTGATATAGAAAGAGGCATGAATCATAGTATAACATCATATCCTTTGCAGACGATACTAGAATCTGAGTGGCATCCATTAAGGACATAGCAAACCTCCAAGCTGACATAAAAAGTCTTCCAGTTACAATGTCAACAATATGACACTCAATGAGGACAAGTTTCACTTACTCTGTTATGGAAAGATTGAGGAAATAAGAATGGAATGGAATACAAGTGTAAAACAAACTTGAATCACTCAGTGGTGTGTGTGACTAACGTGAGAAACCTGAATGCGATTATGTAAGATTTTACCAAGGATCACAACAGTATCACTATCACAACTGCAAGCAACATGATAGGCTGGATAACTAGAACCTTCAAAATAAGGTATCCAAGCCAATGATGATACTCTTTAACCACTTGTTGTTCCTAGGCTGGAATACTTCTGTACTCTAGCAGCTCAATTCAAGGCAGGCAAAACTGCAAACCTGAGAATAAGCAGAGAACCTTCATTGCCCACAAAGATTCAGTCAAGCACCTAAATTACTGGGGACATTTGAAGTCCCTCAATCTGTACCCCTTGGCATGTAGGTGAGATACCTTATTAACTGCACCTGGAAAATTCTAGAAGGTTGGTCTCATATCTGCACACACAAATCATTCCCCATGAAAGTTTGAGGCTTGGCAGACAATGCAAAATCTCCCCAATGAAAAGCAGGGATGTGGTGAGTACATTAAGGGAAAATTCAATAAATGTTTGGCAACCAAGAATTTTCAATGTCTTTCCTTCAAACATAAGAATTAACAGACCCCTGGATATCTTCAAGAAAGAACTGGACAAGTTTCTCAAGTCACTCCCTGATCAACCAGGCTGTGGTGCTTACATTGGACTTCATATGGCTAGCACCAACAGCCTGGTTAATCAGGCCATCCACTGGGAAGCTTGGTCTGGGACTGGGTCATGAGGGCATTAACCCTCAGAACACATCTCAAGTAGACTCCACATAGGAAAACTCACTCCCTCCAATATATTCTATCACTGCCTAGACTTTTTACCCTCATTACCTCACTCTTTTCTAAGTTAACTTTTAATTTCCTCCTTTCACACACCCTCCCAAATTCATCCACCAACCTTTGTGATTTTCCTTCAGGATCCCCTAAAAGGAGTGTGTCATCAGCAAAGAGCAACCAGGATAACTCCCAGAGTGTCATATTCAATATTCTTTAAGCTTGCACCCCTTTCCCACATTCTAGCATTTCAATTTTAAAAGAATGTTAGTTTTTTCTGGATATTTTCCTGAGGCTGCCAAACCTCCTTAATATTTTTAATCATGATCTGTTAATATGGTGCAAATATTCAGCATCATTTAATGATTTCCATAGTATTTATGGTTCAATTTTTTTATGCACTTCAAATGAAGAATAAAATTTTTTATACATATTCACTTAAAGAAAATAAAAATATGGAAGTCTTTGAAGCCAATATCAGAAAAATAAAGGAGAGGAGAAACAGAATTTAGTAAAGTTTTTATTTATGTGTAGTTTACCTGAGTAATGTACAATGAACAAAATGTAATAAACAATGAACAGTGTATGTGATGTAGTGTACCTAATATACAATGAACAGTGTATGTAATGTAGTACTTCTATATTGATCCTGGTATGTTCTGAGGTAAACACACAATGATCAGCAGTAATATAATATAAAATATTAGTGAAGGTTATTTCAAGGAGAGATGTTAATGTTAACAGTAGATTATGTACAGCCTTGAACGAGCTATAATGATAAGATCAAAACAAAGTTCTTTTTACACAGAAATACTAAACAGAATTAAGAGCAAGAATAAAAAAAAGACTCCCCAGGCCCCATTAATATTTCAAATGTAACAAAAAGGTTTCACTCTTATTCCAATCTTCAAATAAAAGAAGCAAATAAATTTATAAAAATCTATTCAAATATAAATTGATAATGTCTTCAAATAAAATAAAAGCAGGAATTTATAAAAATTAATTAATAACTTCATAAAAAAAAAAAGAATATGCTTAAACCTAGATTAAATTCACTCAACACATGAAACAAAATCCCTGGGTTAACATTTGATGTAGAGAGAGAGAGAGAGAGAGATGCTCAGTGACTGACCTGCAGTTACTCACAATGATTCCAACAGTGTTTACCTAATTATCATTAATAAACAGTTACCAATTATTAAGGTGCATACATAGTGTACTACAAATTTCTTTGACTTTGAGCACAATCTTTTAAACATTTTGATATACTGATATCAATATTTTTCCACAGATAAAATATAAAATCCTGATGGTTGCAGCAACACAAGTGTACAGATGATTTTTTGTTACAAATATTAAAATATTTTAAACGAGGAAAAAAATAAGAAAATAAATGTTAATCTAACTGCAGTTGCGAGGCAAGTTTATAAGAAATTCT